TAAGCAACTCATTGCTAAATCCAGGTTTCTGTTCTAAGACTGGGAGCTGTAGCTTGCCCAAGGCCACATCCTCAGAATCTACTACAACTTCATACCCAATGAGTGCTTACCAGACATTTGTAGGTGAGATGACTATGTAGTGGGATATGAGCTAACCCTTCATGGAAGGTTTTATTTATTTATTTATTTATTTATTTATTTATTTATTGATATACAGCCTGACTGGAGACATGACTCTGAATGAGCATAAAGATACATTAAAAATTGTGAGATGTGCTTTGACCAAAGATGAGGGTATATATGGACAATTTGTGGGGTTCTGAGACTTTTGACAATAGCAAGGGCTTTGGGGATGTAATGATGGAAACCTGGATCCGTGGAGGAGACCTGTGAGTGGTGGAGAAAACTCAGGGGTAGAGAGGCTGGCTGTGACTTAATCTTTATATCATACTCTCCAGAATAGTTCTGGCTGGTATTAGGTCTCAATAAATATTTTACCAGCTGGATGAAGGATATTTTTAAGGTATTTAAATGTGACTTTCCTTAGACTTTAAATATTCTACTGTAGCTCACCCTTCTTCCAAACTGGAACTTACCATTTTTACTGTAAAGTCTCTCCCTTCTATTTTTTCTCACACTAGCCAGTCATTGCAACTGCAGTACCCTGCCCAGAATGCCCTTGCATCTCCTCTCCTGTCAAATTCATCCCATTTCTGTAGACCCAATTATCCACAGAATCTCAACCCTACTACTCCAGGGTGCCAGCATACAACTCTGGCCAAATAAATTTATCAGCACTTGGGGGCAGACAGTGGCTCAGTGGTGAAATGTGACACTATGCTGGCAATCCCACATGAGAAAGTTCTGGGTTCAGGTCCAGGGTCCTCCCTGAATATGCTGCTGTCCATGGTTTGAGGCTGGCTGAGGACTGCGGCTGGATTATAGGTTCAAAACCCTGAAGGATGCAATCTCTCTCTTTGTCTCTTTAACTAATAGAAGACATAAGTAAATAAACTAAAAAAAAAAAAAAATAGGGTCTTGCCATGGCATGGTGGTTTAAGTGACTGGATCCCATATGGCCGACTATGCAGTTCAAGTCTGGGGACTTGAAAAACATGGCAGATGGGTGTGCATGCATGTCCAAAATCTGGACAGGAGAAATGGAGAAGAAGGGATTGTGGAATGGTTATCCCCCATGGGGAGGAGGGTGCTTTCTCATTTTCCCTTTCTCTCTCTTTCTCTTTGGTGAGTGCACATTGCCCTCTAGTAAATTAAAAACAAACTTATGAGAACGTAGGGTCACACGAAGTTAGGTTAAGATGCAGGCTCCCTTAGTTACTGTGCAACTTTGGATATGCTAGTCTACTTCTCTCTGCTTTGGTTTCCTCGGTGGTAAAATAGCAGTAATACCCGCCCATCCCCCCCCCAAGTAGCTCATGACAGTGAAATGATATAATACATATAAAAGGATATAAAGGATCCAGCTCATAGTAAGTGATAAAAATTGGTAACTGTACTGGTTTTTAGTTGTTTTGTGTATCTAAATCTTGTTTCATCAGCAAGATTGTGGGTTTCTTCTTCAGGGCAGGGGTTGAATTTTATGTTAACTTTAATTAGTATATCTAGCACAAAGCTAGGACTATAGTAAATGCTTAAGAAACATTTGTTGGTTTGAGGTGAGTTTGTGATTACCTGCAATTACTTGCTTTAGAAGAGGGGGCGGGCCAGCAGGTGGCATAGAGGTTAAGGCACTGGACTCCCATGTGGGTAATCATGGTTTGAATCCTGGGCCTGGCAGCCTGAAAATCATGCCAAGTGTGTGTGTGTGTGTGTGTGTGTGTGTACATGCCCAAAATGCTGAGAGGAATTGAGGAGAAGGGATTGAGTTGTGGCCACACTCTTGAGGGCTGATTTCTTACTTTCCCTTCATCTCTTTCTGTCTCTCTCTGGCAAATGCACACATGCACTACAGCAATACCAAAATACATATATACACACAAACACTCACGAAGACAAAAGCAAAAAAGAGGAGGGGGCATTGTTACAAAATTCTGTTACTCCACAATTCATTTTAACGTACCCAACTTTTGCTTTGCTCTGATGTTTAGGATTGAGTTGCAGTAACCTGACTGTGAGTGTTTGTGTGTGTGTTGGGGGTGTGGAGGTGGCTGTAGTTGATTCTCTAACTTTCTGAGACCCAAGCCTAAGAATGGGGTTGTTACCTGCCCAGGGTTCTTTGTCCAGACTCCTGGAGCAGGGCTGCTCAGGCCCTTCCCCACTCCTCTAGCTTCTGCCTTCATCACAAAGGAAATGAGTTATTTTCTACTCTCTTGTCATATTTCCCTGCCATGGCGTCAGGTTTTTGAAGACAAAATTTCCCTGCCTCTATGGACAGTCCCCAGCTTACACTGGTTCAACTTAGGATTTTTTTTCCTTGTAAGTTTTCCATTTTTTCAGAGAGAAGTCGGGCAGCCCTGACAGGGTTTTCATGCTATCCACTCCCAGCCTCAGCCAGCCAGGATCAGGGGCGCACATGCATGCACCTGGGCACATACATGGAAATTTAGGAATCCTAACCTAGGATCATCCCCTTTGGCTTCAGTATCACAGAATATTGCATTATTGATGCACCTCCATGACTGGCCCAACTTAACAATATTTTCACTTTAGGTTAGGACAACGTTCAGTAGAAGCTACTTCAAATTTTGAATGTTGGTCTTTTCCCAGGCTAGTGATATTTGGTATGATACTTTTTTTGTGATGTTGGGCAGTGCATTAAGCTGAGGCTCCCAGTCAACCGTCTGACCATGAGGGGAAACAACTGATACTGTACTTGATAGTATACATTGCATGAAATACTTGACACTGTATTACAAATTTTACAGACTTTGTGTTAGATGTTTATGCCCAAATATAGGCTAATGCAAATGTTCTGAGCATGTTTAAGGTAGGCCAAGCTAAAATATGATGTTCAGTAGGTTACATGTATTAAATGCATCTTTGATTTATATTTTTAACTTACAATGGGTTTATCAGAACATAACCCATCATAAGTCAAGAAGCATTGGTATACAATCCTGGCAAAGTGTTAAAGTTAATGCAACAAATTCAGGATAACAATTACCTCTGAAAGGGGAAGCAGGGCCATGAACTCTGAGAGGAGCTTTAATTTTATCTAGGACCATAGGGAAATGGATGTTCATAATAAGATATACAATGTTTATTATATATCATATCATACCATATATCAATATGGATATAATATAATCTTGATTTTGCTGTTTGTCGTACCCAAACATGTATTACTCATAAATAACACTGTCGTGAATATTTTCAAGCTTTATATATGTGGAATTATCAAATTTTATGTGGCATTCTACTTCTTTTTTTGGTTGTTTTTTGTTTAACATCTTTTGAGATTTTTCTAAATGGATAATATAATTTTAGACCTCTGTATTATTCCATTTTATAAAGAGAATACAATTGATGTGTCTTTCCTGCTCTTGGCAGATGTTTAGATGGTTTCATCTTTTTCATTCTTGCAGACACTGCTGGGACAAATAGTCTGATAAATAGCTCCCTGTACTCAGGAGTAAAAGCAAGAGACTTTTTTTTTTTATTAATTTTGTTTTATTTTTTTACATTTTTTTAATACATTCAATCACATTTTTTAGCTTACAAGGTGATCATTTCAATATGTGAACATTTCTCCCTGGTCTAGTTGATGAAAATATAACAATACTACCTCCCTGTCTCAACAGTGCTGTCTCCATATCCCTCCTCCAAATGTTTTACCTCAGGTGTGTGCTCACCTGAGAGAGAGAGAGAGAGAGAGAGAGAGAGAGTGAGAAGGAAAGTGAGAAATCACCTACCAGGGAGGGTGGCCACACCGTAATCCCTTCTCTCCCATTTCTCCCCCATTCTCCTCTTGGGATCTTGGGCATGCACACACATGCACCTTGCGTGAGTTTCAAGCCACCAGGTCTGGGACTCGAAACATGGTTGGCCATGTGGGAATCGAGCAACATAACCCCTATGCCATCTGCTGGCCTCAGGGTCAGGAGACTTTTAAAAGTGGACTTGCCAGGGCTGGCAGGTGGTACGGTGATTAAGGTGCTGAATTCCCACATGGCCAACCTTGGTTTGAGTCCTGGACCTGCTGGCTTGCTTTCTCACTTCCCCTCTCTCTTTCTCTGGTCAAATTAAAAATAATAAATAAATAAATAAATAATTCTTAAAAAAAAAAAAAGAATGGAGTAGACAGGACTTAGGACATATATACTTTTTACTTTGGTAAGAACTATCATATCTTTCCTCAGAGTGGTTGTGCTACTTTACTTTCCCATCAGCAGTGCATGAGAGTTGATGTGGGCCCACATCCTTGCCAGTGTTTCATGGTATTATCTGTACTTTCTCCTCTCTGTCTAGATCACCAGGATAAGTGGGAGGCAAGGATTCACAATTAGAAAGAGAATGTGAGCACTGAGGAATTTCTTGTTATTCTTATTTTAATAGCAAAAGGTTTTCTCTGTTTTGGTGAAAATAAAGTTTGGACTTCTGTGGAAAGCAGTTCCATTTTTACTGTAAAGTAGAGGAACTTGTTTCTTTTCTTTTCTTTTCTTTCTTTCTTTCTTTCTTTCTTTCTTCTTTTCTCTCTCTCTCTCTTTTTTTTTTTTCTGTTTACATTCTTGACAAATAAATAGGGAAGACCATTTGGTAAATGAATGTTCTAAATGTTCACTTGCTGTAGTAGCTATTTTTAAACCTTTTAAATACATGGAGCATTAGATTTATTCTTATTGCTTTTGAAATTCCTATTTTGTTAAAATGAGTCAAATTTAAAATGTGAGTAGATAAAGATTGATCATAATGATTCGCCACTCCATTTGTATTTTGTGGTGGGAAAAATAAATGATGGGAAAATGTGTTTACATTTTAAAGCAAATAAGAGAAGTTATAAAGTGACTCTAGCCATTTTATGTTGTCTCTTGTGTTCCCAGATAGGAAAGGAGAAGTTCCACAAATCCCAGCATTGGGGCTTTTGCAACAATGTGAGGATGCTAGTGAGTGATGGGAAGCCTGGAATAGGTGGAGAACCTCTGCCCGGGCAAAAGACAAAGCCCAGGAACACTACATATCCGAAAGGAGAAGGCTCTGCTGTACCATCATGGGTAGTTTTTGATAAACAGGTAAGTCATATGACATGGGGTTGATATAGTTTTAAATGTTTACATGTACTATGGAAAAATGGAAAAAAATGGTCTCTCAGAGGTAGCAGGATGAGCAATGATGGCTAGCAGTTAAAAGGATTGAGGTGGGCTATAGAGAGATGTTGATTAACAGATATAAAATTGCAGATTGATAGGAGGAACAATTTCTAGTGTTATAAAATACAGTGGGGAGAATATGGATGGCAGCCACTTACTGTGTATCATGAAATAATAAAAGAAAACTTTGAATGTTCCCAAAATAAGTAATAACAAATGATTGAGTTGATGGGTATGCTAGTTACCCCGACTTAATCATTACACTTTGTATTCTGGTAGTGAAAAATCACAATTAAGCCCCAAAGATATATACAATTATTGTATGTGAATAAAAATAATTTAAAATTTACATATACTAAATAGATTTCAGAAAATATTGGGTTGTCAGAAAATTCGTGATGCATTTTTGCATAAACAAACATAGAAAAATACGTTGTGACTTTTTTGACAACCCAGTAAGAGTTTTCTATGTAAACTTAAGGTTAGATTTTTCCTCCCCTTTTTCGGCTTTGACAGCATTGCCTTTATTATTATTTTAGTATTTCTTCTCTTGTCTTTTTAAATTTTATGCAAGTTAATGACATAAATGCAAATAAAATTGTATAATTTTGTATAACATAACGTTTTGAAATATGAAAGAGGTCTTCAAAAAGTTCTTGGAAAATATGCACTATGAAAAGAAGTATGCACGGAGTTCAAAAATTTTTGCATTGGGAACCAGCAGTTAGTGTAATGGCTATGTCGCTGGACTCCCACGTAGTCGACTGTGGTTTGCGTCCCGGACCCGGTGGCTTAAAACTCACGCCGGGCGCGTGTACGTGCGTGCCCAAGATCCCGAGAGGAGAATGGAGGAGAAGGGATTGTGGTGTGACCATCCCCCCTGGGGGGTGATTTCTCGCTTTCTGTCTC